GCTCCCTTACCATCAGGCCACACAGTGTCCTAAGGCTCTAGCTTTTATTATTTACTTTAAAAGCTTATTTACTTATTGATTGATTGAGGGCAAGAGAAGAGATACAGGCACTCCCCATGGGAATCCCTATTGTGTGTTCCACCTCTGTTCTCTGCTGGCCTGGGTCATAGGCATACACTGTTGCGCCCAGAGAGGTCCCAGGTTGTGATCCTGGGACTTTACCCATGTGGATCTAGTTGCATTACCATTGTATCACCATTCAGGCCTCTCTGAGTTTACTCTCATCATCATAGAGTATACCTTTGTGTGAATGTACTAAAATTTGTGTATTCATTCTATTTTGTTTTTTAAAGAATTATTTTATTTAACTTTATTTATTTATTTATTTAAATTTGACAAGCATGAGAGAGAGAAGGTGAGAAAGCAAGCCACCAGGGCCTGGATTTGAACAATAGTTGCCCATATGGGAATCTGGTGCCCTTAACCACCATGACACCTGTTGGCCCCTCACTGTATTGTTAATAAGCAATTTGGGTAGTTTCTATCTTTTAAGAGTTCTGAATAGTGTTGCTGTGAACTTTTTAAAATGTTTATTTAATTTTATTTGTTATTATTATTATTTTAATTTGACCAGAGAGAGACAGAGAAAGAGAGTGAGAAAGCAAGTTGCCAGATCTGGAACTTGAAGCATGGTTGGCTTTATGGGAGTTCAGTGCCTTAACTACCATGCCACCTGCCATCCCACAGTATAAATAATTTTTTCTAAAAAATTATTTAATTTTATTATTTATTCATTTATTTAAATTTGACGAGAGAGAGAGAGAGAAAGGGAGAGAGAGGGAAAATGAGAAAGCAAGCTACCAGGTCTGGGATTTGAACCACGGTCGGCCATGTGGGAGTGTCCAGCACCTTAATCACCACACCACCTGCTGGTCCCCACTATAAACATTTTTATACATGCCTTTGGACATAAGTATATAGAAAACTTGATTTAAAAAAAATAAGATACCAGCAAGATAACCCAAATACATGCAAAAATGTTCAATAGATATTACACATAAGATAAAAGAAAAGAACTTTCCTCCAGTTGTATCTTACCAGAATCAGTGTTAGTTAGCCATGAGGTCTATGTACTGATAACCTTGCTTCAGATTTTTCTTTTGGATCATGGATTAGCAGGAGAAGCTTCCATTTTCTCTATTTCCCACTCACATGGGTGTAACTAAGGCTCTGAAAGTTTAGTCAAGGATATGGAGCAAAAGCAGGTGTAGCGTATTTGTTCAGCTTTTCCCTGGCTTCTATCTTTTTAATATGGTGTGCCTATGCTTGTAACTCTGTCTGTGCAGGGTTAGGGGTCCGCTGGATCTGAGAAAACAACTGAATGTTTTAGAAGTAGGGCTTGTTACCATTCTATTAGAATTAAAAACAAAAAATTATTGTCTAATTTCAGGTTTGTATCCTAAGTAGAAATTTAGGATTCTGTCTTCCCCCACCAGAGTAATGTTCTGGTACTCCAAGCGGCCGCCACCTTGGAGTGAGTATATACGCCCTGAGTTTGCCACCACTTCTCAGGCCTCACAGGCTAGGCTGCCTAGGTGGGGTTGGTGATATCTTGGGATGAACCCACCGATGGACCAACTAGTCACACCCATGGGATATTGCATCTTGTCCTTGTATCTTGCTGGCAGGGGTTATGCCAACAAGGGCTGTCCTTGCCCTATCAGTCCATGTTTGGTGGCTGACCCAGTTACCATCTCGCTGGAGTTCACTGTGGCGACCCATGTGACTGTGTTCATGTTGCTCTCTCTGAATCACATCCCAGGGACACCCTTTGCCATGCTGTTGCCTTATCCCCTACTTCTGACTCACACATCTACCTGTGGATTGGCTGGGGAGAAAAGACCCTACACTTGGCACTGGCTCATCCAGACTTGTACCTACCCTACCTCCTCGATCCTGTGGTAACATGTTTTGGTCTCAAAAGTTAATAAATGAGCATCTTGAGTATTCAGTAGGTGATGTGAGTGGGTCTGGACATGTATTCAGCTCCTTTCTGGGTAACTGGTAATTCTAGATATAATCCATACCCATGGTGACAGTGGTCTGGTAATTAACTGCATATCCCAAGACCCTAGTTCCTTTAGTTAGCTTTTGCAGTGCCTACTGTGGGACCATTGTGACCAGGATTTTTTTTTTTTTTTTTTTTTTTTTTTTTATAGGTTTTGAGTTTACCTACTTACTTCTTTCATAACTGAGGTAGATAGAGCGACAGCACCCTCGCAGGGTCTTGATGCCACACTCCACCACCAGCCTCAACCAGCCCCAGATTATGGGCATGCCTGACATACTAAGGAAGGTCTCCAGGCACAAATCCAGAACCTTCCCATTGGATCAGCCTTGGAGAGCATCATGCATCATGTTTCTGGCCTTTAATTGTTTTTTTTCCTAAGCTTTTTTTTTTTTTTTTTTTTTAATTTTTGATAGGTTTTGCTACAGGGTGCCAGAGAGACAGAGAGACAGAAAGTGAGAAATCACCCCCCCATGGGGGATGGCCACGGTGCAGTCCCTTCTCCTCCATTCTCCTCTTGGGATCTTGGGCACGCACGCACACGTGCCCAGTGTGAGTTTTTTTAAGCCACTGGGTCCAAGACTCAAACCGCGGTTGGCTACATGGGAATTCAGCGACATAGCCATTATGCTAACTGCTGGTCCCAGTGACCAGGAATTTTGATGACAGGTGTCAAGATTCAGTTCTGCAGAGGGAGCCATCCCATTCAAGGAAGGTAACAGGTATGAAGATTACCCACTCCCGTTCTAGAAGTGCAGTCATGGAAACACAGGATGGAGGCCCTCATAATTGGAATGAATCCACATTAAATCCTTTGAGGAGGTCCATTGCAGGGCAAATCTGCTGTTGGCAGCCACTGGTAATCCTACTGGCAGAGCTGTGTATTGAGTTTGTTGCAATTAAAATGCTTACACTTGGATCTCAGGCTCAGTGAAGAACAGTCTCCTGCTGGGAAGTCCCTGCCCTCTGCCTCTTGGCACCCTCCATGCTTACAGCTGAGTTTCTCATGCTATAGTCTGTAGCATGCCCTTGGAGAAAATTAGTGTTCAAAATAGCAGGGGCTGCTGCTTGGATACCATTGTTGGAATCATGACACAGAAGCGCAGTTCTATTTTGTTTGTATCAGAACTTTGCTGTGGCCGTTTTTTTGTGGTTTTAGCATTGGGCCATTAGTATTCAATCCTGAACCAGTAGTAGATGGACCAGTGTGAGAGTTTTTTAATACAAGGATGTTTTCATTAATCAAGGATGGAGGTGAAAGTGGGAGGTTTAAAGAAGTTGTGATCCCGTGTCGTTGACCATAAAAATGGTGCTGCTGACCAGTGTTAATGTTTATGATCTACCAGCCTCTATCAGGAAACCGTACTCCTTGGGTGGCGGTAGGGGAAGGGTCTGTTTCCAAAATTGAAAAGCACCAGTAGTGGAGTTCCTACTTAATTTGACTCAACATGTGCAACCTTATCAAGTTCCCTTGTGTACACAATTGACCCAGTAATAGGTCTTGTGTGGGTGGAAGTGTGTGGTTTTTCTACCTTGGTGGTGATTTGTCTGGTTAATTGATAACCTGGGAGACAAGCATGCCATTTAAGCAATACTGAACTCTCTCTATCCCAGTGTCCTTTAGCTTCCACAGTGGTATTCCACCCCAGAGATTTAACAGCAATGAGCCTTTGATGATGCTAAATGTCTACTTCTGCGCAGCATACTCCTCAGTTTGTACACATCCTGATTTGACGGGTGTCAGAGACTGAGTAAATCCACTGGTGATGGGGATCCGGATTGATTTATTCCCCTTGAACTAGGAAATCCCTTTAAGACAGTAGGTCTAAACATTTAAATCCCTGCCCTTTGCCCACACTGTATGTTGCTCTTTGAATCAGCCTCTTGAGATCGGTACGTGGCCTTCAGGGATAGCTGAAAAGACGGTTTTTGTTTTTGTTTGTTTGTTTGTTTTTGAGAGGTTTTCGCTATAGGGCACGTGCGCTCACCAGACAGACAGAGAGAGACATAGAGACAGAAAGCGAGAAATCACCCCCCCCGGGGGGATGGTCATGCCGCAATCCCTTCTCCTCCATTCTCCTCTCAGGATCTTGGGCAGGCACGCAGTCGCGTCCGGCATGATTTCTAAGCCACCGGGTCCGGGACGCGAACCGCGGTTGACTACGTGGGAATCCAGCGACATAGCCATTACGCTAACTGCTGGTTTCCAAGACGGTTTCAATATAAGTCATAACCAGGTTTCTGAAACTGGGCATGCTGAGTAGCTCTAAGGAGCTATAGCCAGTGAATGAAAGATTGGTTGCAGCTCATTGTCCCTCCTACCTTCTGTCCCGCAGGCCACTCAGGACAGACACATATGCCAGTACAGGCGCTCACTGTAGGGGTAAGGGGCTAACTGTAGTTCTTTGGGTGCAGACAGTTTTCAGCTGAGCTCCCGTCACTTCTGCATAAGTCAACCTCTGGTTAATCTCTCTCTGGCGTGGTACCTTGGGGTGTCTCTCAACGCTAATCTGTCTGTTTCTTTTATGGGATGAGGAGATGGGAAAGGGGTATATATTGTACCCGTCCACTGCTGTTAACTATGTTAAGCCTTTCGATGTGTTTTTGTGGAGTTTAAATTGTTAAGATACTAATGGTGACCTAATATTGCATGTTTCTTTTCACTGTTTGTTAGGGAGTGTACAGTGTGAAATAAAACCAACCATTTCTGTTATTTTCAACTTAATTTACAGAGTTCTCATACAAAAATTTTATTTTTTAATACATTATTTAGGAAAGTTTTTAGTTTCAGGTATACACTTGAATATCACCTTAATCACAGTTTTTGGTAAACTGTGCTAGTGACTGTTTTGCCAAATGATAGATTCTTGCTTTAACATGCACTGTTTTAGTTTTTGTGGTCTTGTTTTTTGAAACAGTTGTGACCAAAGATAATTTATTTTTTTTTTTGTTCATAGATATATGTAGAGTGTGTCGATCAGAAGGAACACCTGAGAAACCTCTTTATCATCCTTGTGTATGTACTGGCAGTATTAAGTTTATTCACCAAGAATGGTAAGTCAGATTTTTAGGAGATTGTACAGATGTGAGCTTCAATTTTGTCACCTATGTATTAAGAGTGGTCATTTAGTTAACTTTTTATATAGCTTTATTATTTATTAAAGAATTATGTATCTACTTTTATTTATCATCATTAGTATTTTTTAATTTGCTATAGGGCACATATGCTCACTAGAGAGAGACAGAGAGAGGGAAAGTGAGAAAGCAAGCCTCAAGGTCTGGGACTCGAACCACGGTTGACCTGGAACTCTGGCACCTTAACTTCCACTCCACCTGCTGGCCTCTCCATAGTTATTTTTAAAACTTTAGTCATAAAAATTTAAAAAGAAATGACCTGTTATTCTTAATACCATGCCTGTTATTTTGTATATTGTCTTACAGGTGCATCTAGGTATCATTTGTTTATTTCTACCCGAGAGCTTGTTTAGTCATTGGAAATATTAAGGTTTTCTAGTTTTGCTTGGCATAATAGCTTACACTTAGGAAGTACTTTGTGCCAAGAACTATTTTCATTGCTTTTACACACCTTAACTTATTTAATTCTTATGGGAAAACTATGAGATGCGGTATTAATATTAGATGAGATTGAAGCATAGAAAGGTAAAAAAAACTTGTCATGGAGGCTGGCATGGTGGTTGAGGTGTTGGACTCCCACATGGCTGACTGTGTTCTAGTCCCAGATACAGAGGCTTGAAAATTGCCGGGCAGTGTGTGTGTGCATGCCCAAAATCCTGAGGAGAGTGGAGAGTGGCATGACCATCTGCCCTGGGGAGTGATTACTTACCTGATCTCTTTGTCTTTCTCTTAGAAGGAAAGGAAATTGCCCTGGGCCATATAGCTAGCTACTTAGTGGCAGAATCAGGACTCAGACCTAGCTACGAAATATTGGTATTATCAAATGAGTATTAGAACTTATGTTGATGGCGTTGAGATTCTTTCCATATTCATCATCTAACTTTGAAGAAAATATACCTTAATTGAGCGTTTTGTGTTTTTTATTTTCTTTAGAGAGATTTTGTGTGCTTTCTGAACAGAGAGAGACAGACATACAGATAGAAAGTGAGAAGTCACCCCCTCCAGGGCTGATAGCCATACTGCAGTCCTTTCCCCTCCATTTTCCTCTTGGGATTTTGAGCTTGCGTGCACACGTGCCTGGCATGAGTTTCAAGCTGCCAGGTATGGGATTCGAACCACATCTGGCCACATGGGAGTCCCTAGCACAAAGTAATTGTTATGTCATCTGCTGGTCCTGAGCTTTTTTTTATTCTATAGGGTGTGTGCACTCACCAGACAGAAAGACAGAGACAGAGACAGAGAGATAGAAAGCAAGAAATCACCCCCCAGGGGGGATGGCCACGCCACAATCCCTTCTCCTCTCGGGATCTTGAGCATGCACACACATGTGCCCGGCATGAGTTTAAGCCACCAGGTCCGGGACGTGAACTGCGGTCGACTACTAGGAGTCCAGGAGTCCAGCGACATAGCCATTACGTTAACTGCTGGTCCCCTCTGAGCTTTTTTTTTTAAGTTGAAAAAAATTTAATTTTTTTCACTGGGGGTGGTAGACAGATACCCTTGAGAGGGTCTCATTGTGTTGCAACCCTTCACCCAGCCCTCTAGCCAGCCAGGATCATAGGTGTGTGATACTCTGTGTGTTTCCAGGGAACCAGTCAGAGCCTTCCATGGGCTCCAGCATTGCAGAGAGATGCCCTGTGGCTGGGCCAAGCTTTTTTTTGTTTGTTTTGTTTTGTTTTTAGTTTACTATAATGCATGTGTACTTGCCAGAGAGACTGAGAAATGAGAAATCACCTCTTGGCAGGTGTTGCCATGCAACAGTCTCTTTTCCTTCATTATCCTCTTGGGACTTTAGGAATATACACACACATGGCATCTGGCATGTTCTTCAGGCCCCTGGTTTTGAGTCACCATGCAGTCAGCCATGTATAGGATCCAGTCACCTAATCACCATGCCACCAGCTGGCTTCACATCTTTTTTTTTTAAGAAGAGAGAGAGGCAGAAATGGGGGAGAAAGACACAGAGCTATCTCTACCCACTAGAAAGGAGCCTGGAGGGAAAATTCTCAGCAGAAAAATCTTCATTTTTGATCAAGGAAACCAGTATTTCTTTTTTTTCTTTTTTGGAGAGTTTTTTGCTATAGGGTGCGTGTGTTTGCAGAAAGACAGAGAGAAACAGAGAGACAGAAAGTGATAAATCACCCCCTGTGGGGGATGGCCACACCACAGTCCCTTCTCCTCCATTCTCCTCACGGGATCTTGGTCACGCATGCACATCCTCCAGGTGTGAGTTTAAGCCACCAAGCCCGGGACTCGAACTGTGGTTGACTACATGGGAGTCCAGTGACATAGCCATTATGCCAACTGCTGGTCCCGTTCATGCTTTTAATAGTAGAAATACAGACAGTTTTTATCTTTACCTGTTATAATGTAGTTATAAAAAGTTAAGAATGTTCTAAATTTGAAAGTGTCAAAATTGTAAAAGGTATGTAATAAAGTTTTAGTAAAAAACAACATTATTTTCTAATGGAACTTACTAATGTTTCTTTGTGGAAAACACTGTACTTACGAATGTATTTGTAATTACAGCTTAGTTCAGTGGCTGAAACACAGTCGAAAAGAATACTGTGAATTATGCAAGCACAGATTTGCTTTCACACCAAGTAAGTTCTTTATAAGTTTCCATTGCCTTTTGTTTGTTTGTTTTGATTATCACCAGCAGCATAAAAGTATTTAAGTAGGTAACTATTTTCACCTTGATTGTCTTTTATAGTAATAAGTATTGCTATTCCATTTAAGAAGATTTTTTTTTAAGGATTATTTTATTTAACCTTATTTATTCATTTGTTTATTTCAGTTTGACTATAGAGGGGCAGAGTGAGAATGAGAAAGAGAGAAAGTTGGGGGAGAGAGAGAAAAAGAAAATAAGAAAGCAAGCCGCCAGATCCGGGACTCGAACTGGTCAGCCATGTGAGACTCCAGCACCTTTAACCACCACACCACCTGCTGGCCCCTAGGAAGATATTTTTAAAACTACGCGCCATCTTTTGGGACCAGTAGATGGTGTAATGGTTACATTGCTGGACTCTCACATAGCCATCTGCAGTTCGAGTCCTGGACCTAGAGGCTTGAGACTCATGCTGGGCATATGTGCGTGCATGCCCAAAATCCCAAGAGGAAAATGGAAGAGAAGGGATTGCAGTGTGGTCATCCCCCTGGGGGGTGATTTCTCACTCTTTGTCTCTGTCTCTCTGGCGAGCGCACATGTCATATAGCAAAAATCTCTCCAAAAAAGAAAAGCTCCGTACCATCTTTTAATACACATACATATGTATGTAGTTTGTATGCGTGCATGCATGCGTGCATGCATGTGTGTGTACGAGTGAGAAAGAGACATGACAGCCAGCCAGAGAGATTTATTTTGTGGGCTATTTTTCCCCCTCCTCACCTTTTGTTACTTTTTTTTTTT